TCTAATGTGAAAAAGCAATCTTATTGTTAGCAAGAAGGATGAATTGAAATTGTGGCATTTACGATATGGACATCTCAATATCAAAAGCTTACAGTTACTAAGTAGGAAATGTATGGTTCTTGGATTGACTCAAATTAGATATCTTGATTTTTATGAATGGTATATTTATGAAAAACAAGCAAGAAAGTTGTTCATAAATGAACAGTCATGAAAAGCCTTTTAATGCCTTGAATTGATACATGCCAATCTATGAAGGCCTATGAGAACTACATCACTTGGTGGGAGTAAGTATTTTTTGCCCTTTACTAATGATTGTAGTTGAATGAGTTGGGTTTATTTTCTAACCAACAAGTCAAAGATTTTTGAGATTTTTAAAAAATTCAAGGCTCTTGAGGAGAAGTAAAGTGAAACTTTCATAAAGACTTTTCGCACTGACTGAGGAGAAGAATTTTTATCTAATGAGTTTAACCTTTTTTGTGAGGGATTCACAGAGAATTGATTGCACCCTATACTTTAAAGCAAAACGGTGTAGCTAAAAGAAAAAATCGTAAATCGTACCATTGTGAAAATGGCTAGAAGTTTGTTGCAAGTGAAAAGACTATCGAATTATTTTAGGCTGAAGTTGTGGCAACTATTATTTACATTTTGAATCTTTCTCCTACAAAATCAATGCTTAATCAGACAACTTATGAAGCTTGGAGAGGTACAAAGTGATGTTAAGCCACTTGAGGATTTTGGGTTGTGTTGCATATGCTCTGGTTAATTCTCAGGTTTATCACAAATAGTGTCGAAAGCGAGAGGAGAGTTTTTGTGTAGGATATTTGCATTCAATACCAGATGCATATTGTCTATAATCCTCTTAGTGACAAGGCGACCTTAATTTAGGTTAGAATATGGTATTTGATAAGATACAAGTAGGGAGTGGGAATGAAAAAAAAAGGACAACTCAAATTTTGATTCCAAATGAAAGTGAAAATGTAGCAAATGAAGGTGTTGAATCAACCCCCATGAACTCTCTAGTCAGTTGTTATTCATTGGCTTCCTCATTGCATTCTTCACCTCCAACTTCACGACATAGCAGTTCACCTTACTTGGAAGAATTTCTCAAATGAAACACCTCCAAAAAAATTAAGATCTTTGAAGGATATTTATTTAAACTTGTCAATTTGCTTTCCTTGTTTAAAATCCTACAACTTTGAAGAAGCAATAAGTAAGAAGAATGGTAGAATTGCAATGCAATAAGAGATGATGACAATCTAGAAGAATGAAACATTGGAGATGGTAGATCTACCTAAAGGCAATAATGCAATTAGCCTTAAATGAGTGTTCAAATGAAATACCTTACTGCATGGAACCATACAAAAGCACAAAGGCCAGTGTTCAAGTGAGCTATGCATGCCACAAGATGGCTATCCATAAAGCAGATAACAGGAATAGAAACTAAACAAAGTGATCACATCACCATTCCAGAAATGCTAAGGTTAATCCAGATTTTGATCTTCGTAATTTTTAACCATGGAAATCAGGAAGAAAATGTTGGATTTATGAGATAAGATAAGACTACCTTGTTCATAGGAAAGTGAAAAAGGAATGAAGAGGAAACACCAACAGTTGAAAAATCTCACAGTATGCAAATGAAGTCCAGTCACATCAACACCATTAAGTACCAAAGCAGCCTGGACATAGCAATGGAAGCTGGACAAAGCTGGACAAATTGCTAAGCAGTTAGAATCACATATTCTCTATAAACTATGTACAGGTATGTTGTCGGTCAAAGAATATAAAAAAAAAATTTACTTGAAAATGTGTCGTTTGAGAAGGGTCAGTGCTGTAACAACCCTTGGACTCTCTACCAGTGTGATGGCAGTGTAGCTAGAGCTGTGTGCTGACCATGTCTGGGAATGAGACCATAACAATTGGTTAGCTACAGTAACATAAGAAAATGAATAGAACAGTTTACAATCAAGGTGTTCAAGCATGCAGTTTGAAGAAACTATTGATGTTTGCAGAACCATAATAAACAGCAATTTCAGAAGTTACTGCCTCTGTTCCAGCAGTAGTTCCTACCACGGTGTCCCCCTCTCTTCCCATTAAGTTATTATTTAAATTATAATAGAAGAAGTAAACTTAGGAAGCCTGGAGGGTGGCTAAGCGATCCTCTGTTCTCAAAAAGTTAATTTTTTTTAAAAAATTACCCGTAATTAGAGTAAACAAAGGGAAATATTAAAATATTCTTAATAAAAGAACCTTTATGGCTAGTTGTTTTATTTTTTCATGCCAAAATACCATTACAATCTTCAAGTTTAATCACACAATTTTTAAATCATTTGCAATTCATTCATCAACCATTTTCTTCAATAACTTAAACTTTGACAGTTTTTTTTTAAATTTATGCTTTTTTTAAAAATTTTGTTATTACTTCATAATTTAAAAAAAAAAAATACAAGTACTTATATAAGTTTAAAATTAATTTTATCTTACTGAAAAACATTTAGATTATTGAACTTCCTTATCAATAAATCAATTTTGAAAAAAATACTGTGTAAAATAATTTCAAACAAAAACTTTTTATGGATTAATTATAATAATTACTCTCTTCAATTAAAATTATTTTTCTTTATTTGACTTTGAAATTTGCTTAAAATGACAAATTTCAAAATTACATTCGGTATGATAAAAAATCATTCTATTTAAAATTTTAAAAAATTATAACCAAACAATTTATCATTTCCTTTCTTTTCTACTACTTAGATCAAACAAATCCCTTCTTTTCTTTTTTTTCATACTCGTTTTAGCGATTCCAACAAAAAATAAATAAATACATATTTTTTCTTTTATTAAACCTCTCTTTTATTTTCGTACAACAAGGAACTCTCGCGAAAATGCAGCCAATACAGGCCATTGAAAGCAATACATAAGAAATGCGAGTAAGTAAGAAGAGAGCCGTTTTATCTGCTGAATTACACAAACGTATCTTAGGTCTCGCCTTGTTGAGCAAGTCCAGCTGCCAAGCTCGTCATGGGAAAGGAAAAAAAAGTTGGACGGTCAATAAGGTAATCTTTGCAGCCCTTTTAGTATTGTGTTAACCACTTGGATGTTGTGGTAAAGCTGACTTTTTTTTCTTTTTTTTGAAGAAGGGATACAGGCAAGCTCATTTTTTTATGACATGATTAAGTTAAAATTTGTCTATTTTAATTGTTCTTATGTTTTGATCTCTATTGTAAAAAAAAAAAAAAAAAAAAGAAAAAAAAAAGAAAAATAATAATAATAATAATAATAGTACATTCTATAATAGACTTAATAGAATTGCTTGAACTCAAGCATGATTTGCTTCAGTTTAGCTTAATGTATTTAACAGTGAACCCAAGCATTTACACAATAAGCATGAATCTACTGCGAGACACGCAGCAGGTGTAGTTTCATAATAACTTAAGCAAAATGCAGTAACCATAGCTAGATATGACAAAGCAGGAAACCTACTTTCCAAAACATCATCAAGGATGGCTTTTATGTCATAAATACATGCTTCTTCCATAAACAAAACCCAAAAGCACTTGTATTCTTCTCAGCATGAACGCTGTTAAACCTCACCTGGCACAACAATAGTAATAACAAAGTATTTCCAACGAAATTCAACTGTAATTGAATATAGTTGAAACCAGAAGTAGCCTAAGCCAATAACCTATATCAAATATAATAAAAATTGGCCTATGATTCCATTCAACATTCATATTTCTAAGCATGCATCATACAACCATCCATTCATATAGTATGTATATAATTACAACTAATAATTAGCCTTGATCCCCTAGATTTAATGCAATATATCAAATCTCAAAACAAATAACAATATAGCTTTTCCTCCTATTGTTGCTCTTGCATCCTTGAATCACGTCTAATTAATTTTACATTCAAACAACTGAAAAAAAAAAAGAACAGTTTTAATATCTTTTTTATTTTCCATCTACCTAAAAGAATAACCTACTTTCGCAAAGACAGCTGCTCTAACTACCAAAAATACGTCATTAATATGTAAATGGTTAAAAATTAAATTAGGCTGAAGATAGAAAAATTTTAAAAACTTTAAAAAATGGAGAAGACCTCATTCTTGCCTTCATTTTGGACAACCACTAACTCCAGATACAATTTCATTATCCTTTCCTCCAGATGTTGTATTCCTGCAATGTAAACAACATTATCACCTTCTTCAACATTGGACTGAAGCATGTTATATGCAGAAAAAGGAAGCTGTCTAAATGTTTAGCCAAAAAGCAAAGTACAAAAATGAAATTTTAGATTTGTTTACAGGACTTCTTCAATTGACATTTAAGCATATGGCATTCATTTGGCCATCCTTTAATGTTGGTGAAAATTGTGTAGAAAAAGAAACGGGGTTAAATTAAAAACTAAGAAGGATAATTGCATATTCTCATGCTATCTCACATTCTTCCTCAATGAAAAAAATCCTCTGCTCCATGCACCTAACCAGGAGTTTGTTTGGCTTGAAGGCCACAATCAACCGAAGGTTGTTTATTCCATGAATATCTATGAATCTAATTAAACCTTAGTAAATCTTTACAATCTAGACATGACATAAACATAAAGTAGCTTAGCATCAAAAACACAGAACAAAGCAATAACTCACATAACTAGCGCCGAATGCATGCCCACCCAACCATCAATCAGAAACGATTTAGAAGATTCAATGGCAATATTCAAAATGCCTTCACCATTGAAGCCAATAAGTTTCGACACTTGAAACTTGATCCAGTAAACACAAGTAAAATAAGAGTCTGGATTGTCAGTATAGGGACCACAAACTTTCCTATGCTGCCAAAGGAGACAGAGTTTTCGACCACCAATATGGAGCAAGATTGGAAAAACCTCAGACTCTAACTGAGAATCTACTGGTTGTGATAGCAGCCCCCTTAGCTCCAAGTGTGACCGCCAAAATTGACCCCTGAACCACTTTTTCTTGTCCAGATCATATGCAACAATACCATCTTTACAATCATACTGATACAAAGTTTTATCAATAGTCACAACTTCACCGAAAAAAGGATAATCTTTTCTATCGAATTTATCCCCATAGACATACCAAGAGTCCATTGCAATATCATATGCATGCATGTAATCCTGACCATCATGAAAAACCAGTAAGATTTTGGAGTCCTCAAGAAGGGCTGATGTAAAGCATGAATCTAGAGGGGTACTGATGTAAGGGTCAGATGATAAGCCAATCCATTTATTAAGGCAAGGGTCAAACATTTCCAACCATGGTCCACTTGTATCATCCTTATGAAGACCTCCCAGGACATAAATCTTACCTTCCAGTGTATGTATATGAGGCTGAAACCTAGGTTTGATCATGCTAGGAACTTTATTCCTAACACCACCAGGATCCCTTGTGTCAAAACAGTGGACTTTTCTAGTGTGAGTTACAAGTTTACTAGACTTAGTCTTATGGAACCCACCTAAACAGTAGATAGTAGAGCCCAGAGCAATACAGCTGCTTTCTCGATTTTTCTTGTAACCACTCACTATTGGATGTAGCAAGCTTCTTCCAAATCCATACGGGCCATGAATGATTTGGTAATGATGATCATCAACAGCTTTGCTATCTTCACCATATGAAAAGTTGAACATGTAAAAGTTAGATATATACTCGACACCTATTGTCCAGAAGCATATAGATTTCTCCATTGAGGAAAACTGAGAACATCTTTGGAGCATTGGTTTGTTGCTCTTCTTTGACTCAATTTTTCTTGCCTTCTTCCTATGCTGCAATCCACAGATTTCTTCCTTGCTTGCCACCGCTCCTTCCCTGTTTTCTCCATAATAGGATCCAAACCAAAAAATGAGTACAGAACTGAGAAAAGAAGACAAATTGCTTCATTCTAAACGATTTCATTCTAAACAACCAGAACTAAATTACCATAGGTTGAGAAAGCAATCCATTCACGCCAATTCAAAAATCACTTGAACGTGAAAAGAAAAAAAAATTCAACCCAAAGTCAAATCCTGCTTTAACATGTTGCTCATTATTTCCATTACATCAGAAAATTATGTAAATTTATTTTTCAATATCGCAATACTTTTTTTATTTTAATTATTTCAATGAGAACATTAAAAAGTATAAATTTAGTGTCCTTTGGCATGTCTTCTGTTAGGACAAGCTTATGGTATAAGGGTTCTTATAGGATCATAAAGAAAAGGGCAACTTAAAATTAATTGGCCTTTGCTTCTACAGTTCAGCCTTCTGTTCACAACAAGAGTATTGAACCTAATTCTAATTTAATTTAGGTGGGAAAAAACAGAAGAAGAAAAGATCAGCAATACAATGTAGACTATTAAATTAAGAGTCAGTCCATTTCGTTACTCATTTAAAAAGAAAGGTTAACATATATAAACTAAACCAGAGAGTTAAAACAAATACATAAATAACTTCACTTAATTTAACCCTCCGACCACAAACACTCAAAATAAATTCCAAAACACCTACAGTCTATTGATAGAGCACAGAATTAAAATGCCATCATCAGATGCATATCAACAAAGTTCAAACTCTATCATAAAATCAATCAAATGAAAGAGAAAAAAAAATAAAGATTAATAACGAGACTTACATGGCTGAAACATAACCCAATTCTAAGAAAGGCCCCTTTACGAGAAAGGATTTAGAAGACTCCACCGAAATGTTCAGGACGCGTTCCAGTTTGCCCTCCTTGGATGGGCGGATACCTTTGGAAACCTGAAACTTGACACAATAAACACAATAAAAAGTAGAATCATTTACATTAGGGTCAATGAGGGGGTCGGTGTAGGGGCCAACTATTTTGTCATGCTGCCAAACAATACACAACTTTCCACCACCTAAAGCAAGTAACCTACATTCGTCGCTCATTGCATACTCAGAGCAAATATTATCTCCAGGATGCCTAACTATCCCTCGAAGCTCCAAATCAAGGTACCCAAATTTACCAATGTAAAGCTCTCCCTCATCTAAATCATAACCATACAACTCATCGTCACCAAGCCAATACAAGCATCTATTGACTGCCACACGAGGCCCGCTCATTGCAAAGATTTTTCCTTTTTCCTTGAAATCCTCGTCGAACTTAAACCAAGAATTGGTTTTGACTTTATAGCCATATAAGATTTTGCGACCATCAGCAGCAACAAGAATGGTTTTTTCGTCATCAAGATGTGTAAAGTAATGAGCTCTAACAGTGGAAGAGGGAAGTTCAGGCATGGGACTCCACGTATTTAAGGCAGGGTCGAAAACTTGGCCCCAAGGTTCCTCTTTATCTTCCCCAGAATAAATACCCATGACATAAATCTTATTGTCGACAACAGCTACAGCGGCCGAATGCCCGCCTCTAATCAAGGGAGCAACCTCCCTCCAACCCCCCTCAGGATTACTCGTATCAAAACAATGCACCTTTTTACTTAAATCGAACCCGCCTATGTGGTAGATATTGGAGCCCAAGGCAGCAAACCTGCCACCCCATCTCTCCTTAGGCATCTGTTGAGGTCCAAAGAGTGAAGGTAGAACACTTCTTCCAAGTCCATATGGCCCATGGAGAATTCGATAGCGATAATCTTCTTCTTCTTCTTCTTCTTCGTCTGAGGAGGAGAAGTTAAACAAGTAAAAGGCGTATGTAGTCGAATTTCTCCTATGGAAGCAGATCGCTGATTTCTCAGCTGTGAGGAGATCAATCTCATCACATCGTCGGGCCATTAGCTTGTTGTCCGTCTTCTTTCTCCGAGAAGGTAATTCTCTACTCGTCTTCTTCTTTATTCCTGAAATCTCCTCCACGCTCGCCATTGTTCCTTCCCCTTTACCACTTCATGGCTCCAATGCCTCCATATTTATAAGTGACAACTGCAATGACCTAGTTCTGTTTGGTATCATATAACCGGCACAGGATTTTCCTACACCGGCATTAAGACCATAGGAATACGACCCAGATATGGATTGTGCAATTTGCCCGTGGGCCTTCCATGTCCAAGCCTACATATCATATGGATCCGAGATAAAAATATCAAGAAGTTGCTGGTTTATTTTGATGGACTTGTACAAGTGTCAGATTACCCGTTCAAATTTAAATAATAATTTGATATTGGGGAGATTCAATAAAATTAAGCTATTAAACGGGTTTAAACAAAATGTCTTTAAGGTTTAAGTTGACCTCGATTCAGCTTAAATTATGTAATCAATAAATTTCGTTAATATTCTATTTTGTTTCAAAATATTTTTCGATATTTAATGGATTTTAAATTTTATTTTGATAATAAATTACTATATTGTATAATCGGTTTTTAATTTATGAAATTAAATTTTAAATAATGTTTTTTAAAATTTATTTATATATTATCTTCCTTTTTTATTTTTATTTATGTTTTCTTATTTGAAAAAAATATAAATTTTGATTTTTTTAACGTTTGTAATTTTATTTAGATTTAAAATTTAAAAATTAAATTTGATTTTGGTAAATTTTGAAAATTAAGTTTCTATAAAAAATTTAAAAAAATGGGTTGTCTAAGATTACTTGTGAGAGAAGACAACACATTTATACCTCAATATGTAGAGCTCAACGAAAAAAGTTGAATCTGATTTTGAGGATTTTTTCGTTCTTCTCAAGTCGAAGACGTTCCTCCAGATGAAGATAATCTTTTCGGGTTGATAATCATCTTGATATCAATCCCTTAAAAATGATAATCTGTAAAAAATTGAGCTATTCTTGAGAACTCTCCTAATCTTTGTACTCCTAGCCATCTATATGAGCTTCAAAGCACTTTTGATTTGCTTCAAAATATCTGGTTGAGTTTGTTGATTTTTTAGATAGAAAAACTATTCATCAGGGTAGGAAGAAGTTACGAATAAATCGAGAGGCCATGTTAATTAAGTTGAAATTTCCCCTTTACCTTCGTATTTAGTATCTTTACTGAGCTTTTATGGTCTAGCTCATCCCTAATGCTTCGCACAGCATTGTAGGACTCATTGTTTTGGTTAAGGATTTAGGTCGACTAATCGCACTTAGTCTTTTTAGGACACACTTCTCAAATAAAGGCCTATCCTAATAGTAAAAGCTGGTGTTATGTCACAACTTGTCCCGATAAAAAAAAAAAATTGTTTGGTAAAATTTTGACCTTAGTAGAAATTTGAAAGCTCTTTTGTTCTATGGTCATGATGCACCTTAAAGATGGTTGAATGTTTTTAGATGAGTTTCGGTTTAAACAATAAAGAAAAAAAAAAAAAAGAAAGAAGCAACCATAATCCTCTTAGTTATAAGTCGACACGCCATAACAAAAAAAAAAAAAAAGCTTAATTCGTCACACTATTAGAAAAGAAAAAAAATAAAGAGTGATAATAAATCAGAATAATTCATCATAAAACAAATGTATTATTTTGATCAGAATTAAAGAATAATGTAAGAAGGCAATTATGATTAATATTCTCAATAAGGATGTGCAACTATTAGATTACTAAGGTAAATTTATAATGCTTACTGTAATAATTTTAGAATCTAAGATATACTCTTAATTAAGGAAAAAAAAATCTAAAGCATTTTTAATTAAAAAAATCTTTTACTTGATTTGGTCAAAAATAAAAATCTCTAAGCCTAAAATATTATAATGTTATTTTAATTATTTGACAATTAATTTACATATATTCAAATTAATTGTAATACCTTTCTTTTTATGATTAGTTAAAATTATTATAATGCCCCTCTTAACAAAATTACTAAACCTATAATTACAAAACTACCTCTCATATTATAATTGGTTTAAATTACCATAATACCTTTTAGACATAATTACAAAAAATGCCCTTTTGATTGCAAAATATAATACCTCTCTTATTATAATTACGAATATAATATCATATTATAATTTATCAAAATAACTATAATATCTACTTGGCATAATTACAAAAATATCTTTTTGATTGCTTCAAATTACATATTAAATTTTAACATCCATATAATAATATAAAATTAATCCCCTAAAAGATAATCATAATATATTTTTAATTACTTGACAATTGAATTACATGCATAAAAAATGACTGTAATGATTCTCTTTCTATAATTAACTAAAATTATTATAATGCCACTCTTATCAAATTTACTAAAATACCTCTCTTATTATAGTTGGCTAAAGTAAATATAATGTCCATACAACCATAATTACGAAAATATTTTCCTACCATCATTTGTCAAAATTGCTATAATGGCTCTTCTACTATTATTTGCCAAAATTATTATAATACCTCTCATATTATAATTTGTCAAAATTATTATAATACTTTTATATCTTAATTATAAAAATATATTTTTTAGTGCTTTATTATTACGTTTTAAATTTTAATATCCATACAATTATATGAAAGTGATTCACTTAGAAATGATTATAATGTCATTTTAATTACTTGACAATTGATTGACATGTATCCAAATCAATTGTAATGCCCTTTCTTATATAATTAATTAAAATTATTATAATGCTCCTTTTAACATAATTACTAAAATATATTTTTTACCATAGTTGGCTAAAGTCATTATAATATTTCTACAACCATAATTACAGAAATAGCTTCTTATCATCATTTGCCAAACTTATCATAATACTCCTTTTAGTATACATTATTAGAATGTTCATTTGATCAATTCCGTTACTTTCGAATCAAATTATCTAAAATCAAATTAACAAATTTATTTTATTTTATTTTAATTAACCTAATCGAAATTATTAATTTCAAAAATTAATTGACATTAAGTTTGGTTAATTTTTTTGATTAACCGAATAATAAATATATTTAAATTAAATTATATTTGAAACTCTTAATTTATCATATTTTAAACAAATTAAATAAAATTATCTAATAAAATATTCAAATACTAAAGTATTATATTAACAACTTTAACAATTTATGAAACAAAATAACCCATTTCATATATTTTATATTTTATATTTAAATTTTGTTATATTTCAATTAAAATTTTAAAAAATTAAAATTTTTCTAAAATCATTTTTATTAACAAATTGAAATTAAATCGATAGTTGACTGATTAATCGAATTAAATTCATTCTATAAATTAATTTAATTAAAATTGAATTATAAATACATTTTTGTATTATGGAGTTTTGACTTTAATTTATATAAATTTTTTAGAACAATCTTTCTAACTTAAAATAAAATCCAACTAAACTATAATGTCACAATTCGAGCAAGCATCAAATTTTTTTTTTCAAAAGATTATATTTCTCAAAACAATTAAAAAATAACAAAATATTAAAAATAACAAAATATTAAAAAATACTCATTTTTTTTATTAAATAAAAACTTGTATATTTTATCAAAATAAAAGAAATTTTAACCCAGGCTAATTTTTAACCCGGACATAACCGGGTAGTTTTTCTAAATTCCCTTATGAGTATTGCAAAAGATTTGAGATCATAGAAATAAAGGTTTGAAAAACTGAAATAACGAAATCATTGAAATAAAACTATATTTAATTAAGTCGTTGAAAGTATGATTTGGATACTTAAAAGTTAACTGCTTCAAGCTTCTAATTCAGAAAAGATACTGTATATACAAAGACAAACTAACAAGTCGCTGGGCAATGCAACAAAAAGTTAACATATCCAAAACACCCTGAAGACCAATGTGCCCAAATCATGTGCTCTTTTCTAGACTATGGAAGCCTTAATTGCAGCAACCACTTGATGTGAATATTAACAGCTTCAAGCTTCAAATTAAAAAATGATCATGTATATATATACCAAGACAAACAAACAACCGCAATTACTTCTCAGTTAACATATCCAAAACATCCTGAAGACCGCTGTGCCCAAACCATATGCTCTTGTTTAGACTATGGAAGCCTTACAGCAACTACTTGATGCGAATACTGTCCTTTAACCTATTAATTGCAAAGAGAAATTATTACTTAGAAATAAAAATACTGTTGTTATTGAAAGTGGATTCTACTTGGCATGCAGTCAATGCTTGCAACATTTGTCCAGAAAAATTGTCAACCCAAGCCTTAAGGCTCAAAATTATCAAGGCTTATCAATCCTCATGCAAGACAACAATAAGGATGCCACATGATACAAAAAAAAAAAAAACAAATAAACACAAAAATAATCAAATTAAGATGTCTCACCAACTAAAAAATTATTGAAAAAGGGAAAAAAAAACTTTTGGCATACAGCATATTACACAAGCTAGAATTTTGGATGGTATTACAGAGGCTACGTGGTTTACAGAACATTGTTGATGATCTTGTAATCAAGAGGCTTAGTGTAAATTGGGGTTTGGAAGATCACATATTTGATCATTTGGTGTTTGTTTGTTTGTTCAGTCCCTACCATTGTGTTCTTGTAGTAGGATAATTCCTGCTCTTTTTGCACAAATAAGCAATCATACTTATCCAAAAAAAAGGTATAAATATAGAGGAAAATAATTGAACTTTTCACATTTCATGTATCTATCCTCTTGTAAAACTGGAAGCTCTATGCAGCTTAGATGAAATGGTGGAAAGTCTAAATGCAGGCAAATACATTGCATATTGTTATTTTCTAAGTAAAGATTCAAGATCATTCTTAAAAATGTGTAGAAGCTGTTTGATTGTTATACACGGAACTTGTTAAAAGAATGCACGGAACTTGTTAAAAGATCTAATAACCCTGCTGCTCATGAGTTAGAAAACTAGGAACCAACTCAAAAGACTGTATTGCCTGAGGAGAAGAATATCCTAGTTTTGTAGCTAAGATCTTACAGACAAGTCATAATTGAAACTAATGTGTGTGTGTGTGTGTGTTTTTTTTTTTTTTTTTTTCCTTAATAAGATTTTAATTACTTCAGATCAAAGGAGAAAAAAATATTTTCTAACAAGAAATGAATCGAAGGATTATGACCTTCGCACACATATTTGGAGATAGAAGAAACTACCAGCTAAACATTTTTTTCTCAAAAAAAAAGTGTTCTAAAGCTCAACTGAGAGTTCCTAACTAAGTAGATAACGCCTATGCCAAGAAAAAAGCTAAAGCAGTATCAAAAGTAAGCATGTGTATGGTTGCAAATGCTAAACAGAGAAATTTCAAACACAAAGAATAAGGTAAATGAAAATTTAAAAAATAAAAATTAAGAACAAACCTGCACATTTGGTGCCTTTTGAAATATTCAATCACTTCATGTTGTTGCTCATCATTGGATTTGGAGTTGGGAAAATGTGTTTCACCTCTCATGTAACCAGAAGCAATGGCATAGTAAATTCGTGGACAAATTGGATGTACATGTTTTTGGAGTTCTACATCCATGGTACCAAAACTTGTAACTTCATTACCGCTTCTCTTTTTCTTATTTGTTGAATTAGTTATCCCCTACATGAATAAAGCTAACAACATCAATAATTATAACCAAAAAATTTGTTTATTTTTTCATGGTTTTACAACTGAAAAGTAAAATAATAGGAAAATAGAAAAGAAAATAGTACATCTTGATAATGCGCGAACACGGCCCTAAGATACTCAAGGCTAGAGCCTGGAGTTGAAAATTCCTCTTTACCACCTTTGTTCTGTAGAAAATGTAATGAACCAATAAAACTGGGAACAAATGTCTTCCAATCATCCAAGCAAGCTGGACCTGCATCTGTACCAGACATCTTGAAAGATGTCTCAAATTCCTTCGTGTTCAAGGACCTCAGAGTTGCAGCTTTATGGATAAAAAGGAATCTATCTGTACAATCCCAAAACAAGGGACTGTTGAAGATAAAAAACGAAATATTCTTCATATGCCTTTCCATCTCATACTCACTCGAAGCTCCATCTGGTATCATATTATGCAACTCAAAAAATATCTTCAACTCTTCAGGCAATTCTTCTTCCACTTCGTGTTGCTTAACCACTTTCATTACAAGATCTCTTAAACAATCCATATCGCGGCGAATGCCATCAGCTAATCCTAATGAAATAACATCTAATTCAATCAACTGCACTTCATTTGATTCAGTGACTCGAACGGTATCTTTGGTTATGTTTCCATGAAACATATCTCTAGAATGCATATCTTGTATAGCCACAATAAGTTTCCTGTAAAATTAAGAAATAAACGAAATTCCATTTAGATATACAACTCACAGAAAATACAAGTGAAATCATAAATAAAGAGTCAAAGAAAACATACTTAAACACTATTCGAAACTCCAAACTTGCATGTACAAAATCTCCATTTTTCTCCCACAAATTCTTGCAGTTTTTATACCACTCTCGAAAACTCCTACCAAGTCTATCCACCACCAGGAGTGAAAAATTTGGATATGAAATCAAGTTGTAAACATTAACAATTGAGGGACAATCTTTCAATAGACTCATTCGATTCTTGTACAAAATTGATTCATCATGGCTTTCAAAGACTTGAAAGCTAACATTCCAAGATCCATCATTTCTGCTTTCATCCAATACAATGGATCCATCAAAATTGTTGTTGAAAAGCCTTTTTTTCAATCTAAGAGGTGAACCCCTAATTGTTGCTTTGATTTCACCCTTCACAAGAAAAACAAATTATAAGAAATAATCACTAATTAAAGTGTTTAAAGATTAAAAAAATTGAAACAAATGGGTATAAATCTCATTGGAATCCAAATCTATAAATCAATTCCTTAAGTTTTTTAAAAAATATAATAATAAAATACAAAAAAATTTGTTTTATTTTTTTTTTATAAAAGTTGAATAATAAATGAGTTTAAAATTTACATCTAATTTAAATAATTATGAATTAATCAAGTCTTAAAAAGTGTTAAGCACGATCCATATAGAGTCCATTTCTTAAAAATTACCTTCTTAATCCGCCATTTTTTGGCTCTCTTGTGGATATTAACTGCTTCCATGTCAATGGCACCCACGAATTAAGAGTCAAGACTATGCTTTGAAATGGAGAGGAAAAATAATACGAAAGCCTTGCAAACCTGAAAAGAAAATAACACAAACTGATATAAAATATGATAAGTATATATATAAATGTGGTTTGGTTGCTAAATATGATATATACAATCAGTTGAATCTGATTATACAACGAACTCTTCTCAATATTTATAAGAAAATATTTTGTTGCTAACTTGAAAATCACAGTTTGCATATATAACTTTGATGTGCTTGTTCGTTAGGTAAAACAATGGAAATTGGCGGACTAGGTGCATCACTTTGTTCTTTGCCTTGGGAAATTTTGGTGCTTAATTTATTCTACTTTTATTTTTCTTTTTCAAAGTTGTATTGGCACCATTGACTAGACAAACACCATGCAAAAATGTTCCTCAATCACATGCCATTCTACACTATTCCCAGAGAACTACCAAAAGAGGTTTATGTTAACTGAGGCTACTGGAGTTTCTGACACAGCGCAAGGGTAATGTTACAAATTTGTTACTATATAAGATTCACTCCTTCAAAGTGACATTATATCTTCTAAACAAATTAGTAAAGACCATATTTATCTTAAAGAAAAACTGTAACATACAATATATCCACCAAAACTATCTAAACTATAATTCAACTACAAAGATGCAGTTTTACATAGACCATGAAATCGCATGAATAAAAGTGTTGAACATTTTAACAAAGGGGACAACTTGAGAATAACTTAACGTGGTAATGAAACAAGAAAGATAAAAAAAAAAAAAGATTAACACTAAAAAAGAAAGCATGCATGGTGCTTCTAAAACATTAAAATATTAATGAATCAAAACTAGCGCTCATAATACACGTTTGAAAATTAAAAAAAGAGTTAAAAATGTAAGGGAAAAAAACATAAATATTAAGAATTCCTTACAATTCTCCCAAGCAATAGAATAAGCATTACGTTAGAAAAAGATGTTATGACTGCCAATAGTTGGCTTATTATCTTTCAAAATTTTAAAATAAAATATACAATACAAAATATGGAAAAGAAATGAAAGGAAACACTGTAGCTCTTCGAATAGCAAAAAGACAAGTAAAGGGTTGATCATGATTCTATACAGCTGTTACAAAGTGACATCATAGTTCATATCTTTTTAACTATTCTCTTTCACATCTGAATTTCTTCACTTTCAAATGCCCTTTTTCACCTATCAATTCCTTCTTTCTTGGTTGCCATTCTCTTCTTTTGATTACCCCTTTTTAAAAATTTTTTATAATTCTTGATCTATTTCGTTAAACTCTTGAATTATACAGATTTATATGTATCAAACTTTTTCTTAATACATTGGCTTTTTCCAGATTCGGAACCAAAGCAGGAAAAGACTAGAGAATCAAATGTAGATTAGGGTCTTTTAACTCAGATTTCATTATGAAACAATCGTCAAACAAACAAAATACAACTAATAAATAACTAAGAGCAGAGCAGGGAGAGATAGAGCATCAAAGATCTTAAACGAATAAAAAAGAACAAGAATAACATAAACGTGAGAGAGAGAGAGAGACTCCTAAACCGGCGTCGGAAGGATGGTCGGAAGGATGGTCGTAAGAGAGAGAGAGAGACTCCTAAACAAATTGGGATTTTCAAACAGAGAGATGGGCTACCAGTGTCACCGATGATGATGTACTTGAAAAGATAATCGTAAGACATGGCTTTCTACGTCGTCGTCTCAAGCTTCTTAGCTCTCTCTGGATACACTATCAGAAGAAGAAAGAAGAAAAATTTGGGAACGTAGAAGAAAGAGATCCAGTGACGTTTGATTAAACGACAAGTTATCAAGTTTGTCCTTGCTTAGTTAAAGTTTGGTTGGAATTGAGAGCTTTTTTTTTTCATGGACGTGGAAATTATATACGAATCAAACAGCCCTTTTAAGCTTTTCTTTCTTTAATTAATACTCTAAAGTAATCAATTAATCAAGTTTTTATTACTATAATTGCTTCTAGTTTTTGTTTTCTTTTTCTTGCCTTGTCTTCAGTCCACTTCCTTTTTATTTTTTTTTTAATCTATATCTTTTAATTGGATAAGCATATTGGCCTTTATTATTTTGGATTCGGTACATTAAGATCTCGTCATTAAAAAAAAATATGTATGCTAATTTTGGGTTGGACTTCTTATGTTTTTTTTATCCATTAATTTTCTATATATTTTTTGTGTCATAAATTATGATAATCATATTTATAAACAACAATAAAGTAATAGAAAAGAGTCAATAATTTTGTATTGCTTATTTCATGATTCGAGCGTATTTTTTTTATCAACTATATTTTTTATGCATAAATTATATGGTTTAACTATTTAATTTTAAAGAAAGTGGAAATGAAAATTTTTAAATTTAAATTCAGACACAAGAATAATAAAATGAGATGGATTTTCTAATTTAAATTTATTATAATATAACATTTTATATATTCGTATCATATAAAATATTAAAATTTATATATTTATATCATATTTTACACAAAAAATATATATCGTATGAATACGAAAATATAAAATTTATGTTTTTAAATTCAAAGATAATTATTGTTAAAATTTTAAACTGTGTTACTTTTTTTATATTATATTATATTATTATATCATATTTTAAATTATTAAATCTAATTTATTGTAAAAAACATCTATGAAAATTCCAAACTCATAGATTACATAGTAGTGCTTAGGTAAGGGAATGTTAAAGGAGAGTATCGGGCATGGTTACGCATTTGAACAGAAAAGTAATACAAGAAACGGTAAGTTTAGGTAAAGAAAAGGAGAAAAGCTACGTTTGCCTTTTTGTCAAGGTCAAATGCAAGCTAATGAAGTTATGTTAGCTATAAAACAGAAGGCATGGCATCGAGCATCTTGTTCATATTTTTAAAGCTCAGATTTTTCAAGCTAGAGAAAATGAGCCCATCAAGTTACCTCTCATTCAGTGTCAAACCGCAACCTGTATCATTATTACAAGAAAACCAATAAAAGAGGATAGCATGCATGCCAACAAGATGGCTATCCATAAAGCAGATAACAGGGAATAGAAAACTAAACAAAGTGATCACATCACCATTCCAGAAATGCTAAAGGTTAATCCAGATTTGATCTTCGTATTTTTAACCATGGAAGTCAGGAACAAAATGGTGGATTTATGAGATAAGATAAGACTACCTTGTTCACAAGAAAGTGAAAAAAGGAATGAAGAGGAAACACCAAACAGTTGAAAAATCTCACAGTATGCAAATGAAGCCCAGTGACATCAACACCATCAAGTACCAAAGCAGCCTAGACATGGCAATGGAAGCTGGACAAATTGCTAAGCAGTTAGAATCACATATTCTCTATAAACTATGTCTATAAACTATGCACAGGCATGTTGTCGGTCAAAGAATATAAAAAAAAAAAATTTACTTGAAAATGTGTCGTTTGAGAAGGGTCAGTGCTGCAACAACCCTTGACTCTCTACCGGAACGATGGCAGTTTAGCTAGAGCTGTGAGCTGACCATGTCTGGGAATATGTTTGAGACCACAACAATTGGTTAGCTACAGTAACATAAGAATATGAATAGAACAGTTTACAATCAAGGTGTTCAAGCATGCAGTTTGAAGAAACTATTGACGTTTGCAGAACCATAATAAACAGCAATTTCAGAAGTTACTGCCTCTGTACCAGCAGCAGTTCCTACTCCGCAACAGTAAATATTTGGTGCCATTAATGAATTTTCTCACAATTCTTATCACAAACTATAGGTCCTTCAGTTGCTATTGTGTCTGCCCCAAGAATTAACACAATCCTATAAACAAATTCAATTCGTAAATGAACCTGTACAAGGGTTATACGCTTGAGTTTGTAAGTTCATCGAAAATTTAGAAGTGCTTAGGTAAGAATTTTAGGCCCGTTAAATGAGCTTGGATTTGAATTTTAGTTTCGTATATAACATTGGTCGAACCTTGGACAAGAAAATTACTTTATTTGAATAACTATTATATATTTTTTATTTATATTTATATTATATAAAAATAAATAAATAAATAATATATATACATATATCCTGTCTATATATATTAATCACATTCAAACACCAAATTAAATTAATAAAATAGTTTTTTAAATTTTATTTTATTGATTATTTATTTTATTATAATTAATATTTATTATAAAATTATTTTTATTTTTTATTTGAAAAAAATTAAAATATAAATAGATCTAAATGAGTTTAAACAAAGTCTTTAAAAACGAGCCAGACTTAAACAACAAAATGAAACTCATATTTTAAATTGAACAAAATTCCAACAATCTAAAAATTTATTAATAACTTATTTAGATCCGACTCATCCCGATCCATTAACAGATTTAAGTGGAAACAATGGCATTGCATAATTAGTCAACTTATCTGTGGTAGTGAATATAATTTAATAACTTGGTGACGAGCATATATTAATTTCAATACATATGCGTCATACCTCAAATAATATTACCTTTTTTTCTTGTTTTTTAGGAGTGAAAATAATGTTTGATATAATTTAATTTGTAAATTAACATTTTAATTATAAAGGCATTTTGCATTAAAAACCATTAAAAATATGGAATTGTATAAAACTTGTTTATATACACCGGAGTAATTTTGAAAATTATCACTGCATTCTTAACAAAGTACTTAATTTATCAAACATTGTAATTAGATCTATTTAAGGATTAGATCACCTACTTAGGCCTGAAAATTTGTTCAAATTTTAATAAAGTTTGGATAAAAAATTAAAATTCATTAAACATATTTGAATATAATTTTTATACATGTTTAAATTTCAGGTCAAATTTTAGATAAATAAATTAAAGCTCAATCCGAATAAAATATATAATTAAAATTTTATAATTATATATTTATATATATGTGAATATTTATTTTTTATATTAAAATTTTTTAATTTTTATTATATAAGTTTGGTTTAACATATAGGCTTGAAATTTTTTTTTTTTTAATTTAAATTGTCTTAAAAAAATTTTTGAAACTTAAAACATTGAATTGAATTAAATTAAAATAAACACATAAATAATTAATATCAAACATAAATATAATCTGATTCGATATTCACAAACACTTCTAACTTTAGAGTTACCAATTTTACGTTTCAATTAGAGGGTTTTGTGATCTCCTCATATGACAAGTGTGACAAGTGAAATGGTAAGTGTTGGGTTGATAGCCCTAACATTTCCTATTCTATTTGACACTTAAGCTCTTTGCATCTTCCAATTCCCAATCACTATTTACACGGTGTACCCCTCTATTTCTATTTAGTTATTATTTAAACTAGTTTTAAATTTGTGCGATACGTGAAAATATATTCATATATCAATAAATCTTATATAAATATAAAATTTTTAAAATGATATATCAATAAATTTTATATAAATATAAATTTTTTAAAATGATAATATAAGCTATAAAGTTTATAAACAACTCATAACTTATATAATCATTTTTATTTAAATTTATATATTTTAAAATAATAAAATAAATTAATTACATATTAAATATACTTATGTAATTATCATCAATTCTAAAGAAAACTCAAGCTATAATTTATTAAATCTAAATAATTTCTAAGTAAAAGACAATAATGTTTTCAATTTCAAGAAATTAAAAATTTCATCCTTAAAATCAATATCGCATACAAATTTTTTCATGAGAGATTCTTCCATAAGTTGTTGTTGAAGCAAAGATATAGCAATTGTTTTTCTAGTATTTCTTGCTATCTTTGAAGTAGGTGTCATTTTACTTAATGAGTCAATAGATTTCACAAATGAAAGTGAAGAGATAGATAAAACAATAATATATAATTTGACAATAGTTGAGTTATAATCTATATTATATAACCTTATAACAAATATAATCATTATAATAAGTTTATACTTATCTCTTCCAATAATTTTTTACATTCAAGCTTAGGATCAAAATCATACATCTTATTCACTATAAGTTTGGTACTTGTCTCAAGATTATACTTGGTTGCCCTCATCTTGAACACACAAATTTTACCTCAAAGATCTTCAGATATCTCTTGAATTTTATAATCTCCATTTTTCTAAATCATAAATATAAATATATTATTCAATTAATTTGAATATTAAATAATATTAAAATAATTTTTAACTTAATACCTTAACAGATATTTCATAAAGATCGTAAATATCTTTATTATTTAAATAATTAGCTTTTGTATTGAATTGTAATAACATTGTCCTTCTAGAATTATTGTATGTTTCAATATTCAATTTATACCTATAAAAAATGTAAAATTATACAATTATAAATATAGTATAATAATTTAACATACTTTTATTATCATGGAATAATAATTTTTTTATGTATTAAATATAAAAAATATAAATACTAATTACCTTCGAGTTGGATTAGGGACATCAACCTTGTAAGAATAACATTGAAATTTCTCATCAATTTTAGAAAATTTCTTGTTATACCCACATAACATATAATACCAACCAAAAGTAATATAAACTTTTATGATAATGACTCTACTAGTGAAAGATTTTCTTGTATATACCCAATCATCTTTAAATCAATCATCAATAAACAAATATTAAAAAAAGAATGTTAATATCATAGTTAAAGAAATATAAAATATAAGTATAAAAAGAGAATAACCTTTGAGTAGCACAGACTAAGAAATGACGTAAAGTGAAAATTAGAGAGAAAATTGAAGTAGAGTTGAGTAGTGATTAAAAGATATAAAATTAGTAAAAAGTGGTTAAAGATGCATTATGCTTAACCTAGAGCTACTTATAAAAAATGTGTGTTGTAGGTTAATTAATAAAATAATTTTAAGTTATGAAAGTTAATATTGAAATAATAAAAATTGTGAGCGAATAATTGTCTAACAATGGCAAGTTAATTGATATTGAAATATTTTATTATACCATTAATATTTA